GGGACGTTTCTCCTCAGCAGACCGAGAGCCGGAGGCAGCAAAGCAGGCCCAGACCATCATACCGCTGCCGCTGTGTTTGTCTCTCAGTGCTTCATCATCAGGTCAGTGTGAACCGGGCTTTTTCACCATCATCTCTCTCAGATCCCACTTTAACACGAGCTCTGTAACTGCTGAACAGAAGAAAATCCAGCTTGGTTTCAATACGTTTCTTCCTCAATAAATAAAAAAACAAGGATTTTTGGGAGGAAATGTAAAGCAAGAACAAAAAAGTCAATCACAGCCCTGAACAGCGTATAACTAAAAATACACGTTAAAATCCAAGTAAGGAGAGCAAATAAAAAAAAAAAAAAATCATTTAAATGTTCAGGAGTCTAAAGACTAATCTGAGAGAAAGAAAAAGTAGCTGAAAATTGAAGAGAACCTTTAAAATTTAAGGAACGTTCCAGATATATTAGTCCACCACTGATCACCTGATCACCCCTGTGTGTTAGCATGATGCTAGCCATTAATAACAGACACCTTGATGGTTTCTGTTAAGCACAGCTTCTCCTATTAGCAGGGGCGGATTTACCAGTAGGTAATACTAGAGTGTTGCCAAGGGCCCCAAATTTCCTAAATCCGTCCCTGCCTGTTAGGTTTATTTTTAGCTGAAGTGTTGTGTTGCTGCTAAACAGAGGGATTTTCTTCTGATCACCTCCAGGAGAACTGGGCTTGTTGTTAAAGATGATTTTTAGACCTTTCTTACAAATAGACATTATTTACAGCCCAACAAACAGAAAAATGCAGTAATGTTCGGTTTGTTAAAGCTTATTGGGAAGCAGCTCTTTAACCTTCCAGAATGTCTGTCTGTGGAAAAAATAACATCTTGATGTAAACATTTAGTTTTCCTGTCATGCGACGCCCAGCATGATGTCCAGTGTGAGGTGAAGAAGGGACTCGGCAAGATGGCCGCTCACACTGAGCCTGGTTCTGATGGCGGTTTATTCCTGTTAAAAGGGAGTTTTTCCTCTCTACTGTCGCTATAAGCATTGAAGAGTCAATGAATTGATGCAAGATAGAAAACTTTGAATCAGCCTGACTGGATGATCTGGTGAACTGGAACGTTCCTTGAGATGACGTGTGTTGTGAATTGGCGCCATAGAAATAAACTGAATAGAATTGTGAGTGAAAGCCGCGTTTGAAACAAGTAGGAAGAAAGGCAGAGATCTGATGTTTGTTGACTTTGGTGTGCAAAAGTATACTCTTTATTCGTATTATATATCCAACTTTATTTTGCCCCGACCCTTCCCCTTCACCCAGCCCCCACAACCAGTGACATTCCCATGTCACCAGTTACTGTCACTGTTACAATAGCCAATCAGAGCTTACCTGCAGAAAGAAGGCAACCAAACAAAGAAGAGCAGAAAAAAATGTTACTTTCAGTTTGTTTTTCTTGTTAAATAGTAATAAATACATTGAGATGCAGTGGTTCTTACTTTATCCTTTTTTTCTTAAGCACAAGGGTTAAAAAGTTTTTCACTTGTTTCTATTTGTTTTTATTTCATTTCTTTATTGATCTGTGTTGGATCTTTAGCAGCAATCCAGACCAGTTGTCATGGTGATTAGCAGCACAGAGAGGAGGAGCTGTCTGGAGGAGAAACACAACAGGAGAAGAAGGAGATCAAGAAGAGTGCAGGGAGTGGATGAAGGATGAGGAAGAGAAGGAGATCCGTTTTGAAAGCTGGCAAGGCATCACTGTCCCGTCGCCTTCTCCGCCCACCTCCACCTCAGCCGCCGGCGGCAGCAGGCGGGCCGCACGGCGACAAACCGTGCTGAACAACAACGCATGTTCAGCCTTTCTCTCTCACAAACCAGCTGCTGTCCTGATGCGTAGACACTTATATATATATATATGTAAATAACTACATATATATATTTATATGTTTAAATCCAGGTGTTTCATAAAGAAATGATGACTGTTATATCCAGGTGGGGCGTTTTGCAGATGAAAGAAACAGATGTGTGTGTGCGTTAAGTCTGCTGATAGACGGGGATGGAAATCTAAATCTTATAACGTTAAAAAACAATTGTTTGTTTGTTGAACAATGCTCCAGTATGGAGGAGAGTGGGAAAACAAGGCCCCCTTCATCCCGACTTAAACAAGAAAAAAAAACAACACAAAACTCCTCAAACCTTAGAAAATTCAAATAATATTAATCAAGAATATCTGTTAAAACACACTTATCAATCATTCCTTACAAATTACAGCCGTAAGAACAACAAACAAAGCAGGATAAAAGGAAAAGTATTCCCAGCATCCTTCTCCTCCTTTCTCCTCCTCTCATGCAGAAGAAATCATCTCCTCCAGCTCAAAATTCACCTGTTTGTCTCTGAACTCTGGCTGTATGTGTGTATTTGTAGTAGTTGTAGTTAAAATTGTATGGCTTTAGGGCATGGTTCAGGTTTTATCAAGAGTTGGCCGGCCCTTCGTCTGAGTCCGGCCTCCCTCTGCCCCCTGCAGCAGGGTTATTGTTGTTGGAGGCAGGGTAGTAGTCCTCTGAGGGCGGGGCTTGAGGCCCTGGGGCGGTGGGGGCCGTCCGAGTCCGGAAGGCAGACAGTCCGATTGGCAGAGCGAGGGGCAGAGATGCAGAGCCAAACTGAGAGGCCTCCATGGAAGACACCGCCCCCAGGTGGTGCAGCCCTAGGGACACGCCCACATCCATGCTGTCACTCATCTGGGGAGAGGATCCCTGCTGACCCCCGCCTCCACCCATGCCTGTCTGTCCGCCCTGCCGTAGTCCCCGCCCACCGTTTCCGTGGTGAGAGTAAGTCGGGTGCGGGTGGTGGGGAGGGTCCAAAAAGTGGCGCTGGTGTTGTTGGGTGGCAGCTGGTTTGTGGAGCAGCAACTGGGTGTATGCTGGGTCCTGACCCCCACTTCCACCATCACTGCCGGGCCACATCCTCATCTGCTGCTGGGAGGGAGCCTGTTGGGGTAGAACCAGAGGGAGGAGACACGGTTCTTATCTGGGTCGGAAATTATTTACAATCCTAATGATGATCATGATAACATTTCTGCCATTAGCGCAAAACAAACAACATTTTACCACTTCAACCAGTAACGAGGAGCAACTGGTCCAATTTAGCCACACATTGGACTTTTTATCTGTGAGGAAAACTGATCCATAGCGGTAGCACCATCCGTACATAGATCTGCTGGGACCCTGCGCACGCTAGTGATGTTACGCTACATGATTGGCTGAACGTTGCCACATGATGTAAAACATTGTGGTTGCCCAGACAACGATAATAACATAATGCAGCGTCTGTGTGCCGAGTCAGGAGCATCTCTAGCGTTAGAGAATCTAATGACCCATGAAGTTTTACCTGATTGATAACAAAACTGAAAAAATCTCTTTCTGTTGAACAAAGCAACTGTTAGACCGTGATATAAAGAGCTGGGTAGCGCTGTGGCTAGCTGTGCTCAGTAGCTAACAGGTTAGCCTCTTTTAGCTCAGTCAGTTAGCCATATTAAGATTAACTACTTTTAACTTTGTGTCAATAACATCAACTGTCATTTTCTACAAGTAGAATAACTTTCTTTGTCTAAAATTTCTACAATAATCATTTTCAAGATGTTCCATTTGTCCTTCCTGCCCTCAGATCTTAATACTAATAATAAAAATAAGCTGAGACTTTTTTTTGTCACCTTGTTAAATGGCAGAGCTCAGTCTGTTTTAGAACACACTACTTAACTTCCAGACTGACAATGATCGTTTTCTACTTTTGGCTATTTTAGATCACAGATCAAATGTTAAATAATAGCAAATATAGGGAATAATATGTTGAGACTCCAGAAGAGATTTGATCCTTAAGAAACAGGTGCAATACAGTTTGTCCGAGTGGAGTTGCCATATAATGACGTCAGAAGAAGGGGCGGGGCCCCGTGCAGATCTGTACCTACACCGTTTCACCCTCGATTTTACTTTGTAAATAAAGACCTAAATTATTTTTTTTCATTCCTTCAAATATTAAGAGTACTAAACTCTAATTTGTTAAAGGTTAATAATGTATCACCTGAGAAAATAACTGCATTAAAAACCTTCTGTTTCATCAATGGTCTGTGCTGGAAAAGGGGATCCTACGCTACTTCCCGGAGCTAACTGTTTTGGTTTTGGATTTGAACAAAAATCAAGTCTTTTTTAGTTTTATTTTTTCCTTTGGTGTTAACATTATGTTATATAGCGAGTAATCTAAAGAAAGAAAGAAAACTAAAACACAGGTAAACATGGCGTAATTATATTTAGCTGGACTGCTCTGAGCATGTCTGATGATGACGTCAAAACACCAGTTTAACAGAGAAAATTTTAAAAACATCAAAAGTCACAACAAAAGATGAAGTTTATCATTCTTTTGTAATTTAAGCATAGAAATAAGTACTTTTAGTCCCATAATTACCTTATTTATAGCAACCTGGATGAATATCTGCCTGCACATGTGCAAATGAGCTGATGGTACGGATCGTAGTGACACTCATATCAGAAAGATGAGTGGCACTATGCCTCCAGAAGCTAACGCTAAGTTAGCATTAGCTTTAGCTGAGTGTTTTGCTCTCTACTGCAGAGTCTGGGTGGTCTGTTCCACTTGTTGTTTCTATGTCTGCTTCTGTCTCCTTGAACCCCAGTCGCCCTCAGCAGGTGGCCGCTCACACTGAGCCTGGTTCTGCTGGAGGTTTCTTTCTGTTCAAAGGGAGTTTTTCCTCTCCACTGTCACTATAAGCATGCTTAGTGTGAGGGATTGCTGAAGAGTCAATGAGTCGATGCAATCAGCTGGTTTTCCTTAGATAGAAAACTTTGAATCAATCTGACTGGATGATCTGGTGAACTGGAAAGTGCCTTGAGATGATGTGTTGTGAATTGAAAATACAGAAATAAACTGAATTGAATTGTTGCCCTTAATAATAAATATTATTACCATTGATAATAAATAGTTCTTTGTGTGGTTGTCAGCGCTCATATCATTCCTCCATCTTTTAGTGTCCTAACAGTCACTCAACTGCTTAAATCACTGAAAGTGAAACTATTTCAGCTGTGAGTCTTTTTCTTTCTCTTAATGAATTTTATTTAGTTTCCACCGATTCCACCATTCAGAACTCCACAGAAATAAATGCTAATTTTCTCCTGCTGCTCATGCCGAGCCCCTGACCAAACAAACTGTTTTCTTGACTAATTTGTGTGTTTTTTTTTTGGTTTTTTTTTAAGTTGGATTTTTGTCAACAAGTAAAATGATTTAATACTTTTACTGTTTGGGAACTTTAATTGGACATTTTTTGAAACTCCTGTTTAGTGGTAAAACGGTCACTTGTTTCCAACTGTGCTTCAGTATTTTGATAAGTACAGAAGTTTGATGGCAAATCCTCCCTCTTCATGTTCATCCATGGAGGATCAGGAATCAGAAAGGTGAAATAACTCATTTTTTTCCACTTTTACCCAATGTATTCCAACATCCAGCTGCCATGCACGTGGGCATTGTCAGTTTCACTATAGCTCTGGTGAATTTCAATGGTGAAGTCCTCTGGAAATCTTCAATAATTG